AAAAAAAAAAAGGACGTTTCGCTTCTCTCCCAGAAGCTTCGTCAGCGGTAGACAACCCTGAAGTCTCCGTGAAGACTCCGGGAAGTTGCTCTGCGCTAAAAGGCTGAGCGTGGCCTGTTTGAGGACTGGGTGGGGATGGTTCGTCACGCCCCTATGGTGAAGAGGCCCATTGATTTCTAAATTCCCTATCGTTGGGTCTTGATTAGGCCTATTGTTTGGGCTAGGGCTGAATAGCTACTTTCATTTGGCCTGATCAGCATGTCTATGTCCCTTGGTGGTCAACAAGTTATTGTAAATAGGAGACAGGTTAAATCTGATATCTCCTTCACGGTTCAGAGAGGGTGAAAATTTTTTAACAAAAATCGCTTCCTTTACTCCCCTTTCAAACCATCTCTTTTCTGTTCCTAGGATTTTTACTTGTTCATCTTCAATTGTGTGGTTTGTTTCTTTTAAGTGTGCGTATACTGCACTTTTGTTATCATTGTTTTTCCATTTGTGTTGATGAAGTCTTTTCTTGAGTGTTTGTTTGGTTTCTCCGATGTAATGTTCCTTGCACTCACTTTCTTGGCAACGGATGGAATAAATCAGATTGCATTTTTGGGTGTTAGGAACCCGGTCTTTGGGGTGTACTAGTTTTTGTCTCAATGTGTTTATCGGTTTAAAATAAACGGGAATATCATGTTGTAGAAATATTCTTTGTATTTTCTCTGAGAGGCCGGCAATATAAGGTACACAGACACCCCTTCTCTTCTTTTCTCTCTGTTGGTTGGTTTCCTCTCTGTTTGTTTTAATTTTCCTAACTTTGCCAAAGGCCCATTTAGGGTAGCTACACCCTGACAATGCCTTCTCGATGTGTTTGACCTCACTCTCTCTCGACTTGGTGTTGGTGGAGATTTGGCTCGCTCTGTGTTCAAGTGTTCTAATTACACCTAGCTTGTGTTGCAGCGGGTGATTGGAGTTGAAATGCAAATACTGATCTGTGTGCGTGGGTTTTCTGTAGACCTCAACCTTAAGAGTTTTGTCCTGCTCTAAGCTGACCTTGCAATCCAAAAAGGCCAGTGCATTGTCTTTTGCGTCTTCTCTGGTGAATTTGATGCTGTCATCTAGATTATTTATGTGTTCGGTGACTCCATCCACTTCC